GGCTGTGCTCGCCCCCGGGCACGGCCCGGAGCCCTGCCAGGGGCTGACCTGCACGGGACAAGCAGCCGGGATGGTGGAAGAGGGGAGCACCTCTCCCACATCACCCTCTGTGCGCCCAGGTTTGCAGTCTGCCCTCTCCTTGCCCTGGCCGTGCATGCCATGCCAGCCTGCTCGGGGGGAGTAGAGCCCCGGGGAACACTCGGAGGAGGTTTTGGGCACTGGCCTCACCTTTCCTCTCCAGGAGGACGACCTCAGTCGGTGCCGACTCGCCGGCGGCGTTGTAGGCTGAGAGATAGACCCTCCTGGTCCCCACGGGCACCGAGAAGTTGCACTGGGTGTGGGTGGTGTTGCAGACGGTGGGGGGGTCCCTGCCCCTCCTCCGGGGGCTCAGGGTGACGCGGTAGCCCAGCACTCGCCCGTTGGCTTCCTGCTGCTGTGGGGCCTGGGTGCGGGCAGGGTGTGTGGGTGTCAGTCCCTGTGGGGATCTCAGGCCCCAGGGCAATGCCCCGGCAGCTCCCGCGCCCCCCTCCCAGCCCCTGCTCACCTTCCAGCGCAGCTGCACCTCCAGCCACCCCCCTGTCCCGGCCGGCTCAGCCCCCCACCACGCATCCAGCTTCCCTGTGGGGGCTGCAGTGGGAGCAGGATGGCAGAAGGTGAGAGGGTGACTATGTCCCCAGTGCTGTGCTGTGTGTCTCCAGGGTTGTGCTGTGTCTCCCCAGCACTGTGCCATGTGTCCCCAGCGCTGTGCCGTGTGTCCCCATGGCTGTGCTGTGTGTCACCAGCGCTGTGCTGTGTGTCCCCAGCTCTGTGCCACCTGCTCAGGCAGAGGGGACCCCCTGGGTGACTCACACTCACCTTTCTCGTGGGTGGTGTAGCTCCTGCATGGGCTCCACTCACTCCAGTGAGCCAATGCCGATGCTGAATTCCGCCGGCACCGCATCTGGAAGTGGTACTGTGTGCCGAAGAGGAAGCCGCAGCGCTGTGCAGTGCCTGCCCGGCCACTGATGCCGGTGACCTGGTGGCAGCCGGAACGAGGGCTGTGCTGGCTCCTGCCTCGGGCAGGGGCTGGCCCTGGTGTGGGTGTGAGGGGACACCTTGCTGTCCCACTCACATGGGGACCCTTCTGTTCTCACTGCTTGGAGCAGAGGGAGGGTCCTGGCTCCTGCCTCAGCAGCACTCACCAGGGCCCAGGCAGAGTCCTCGGGTGCCCGGTAACGCAGCTCACACTGCAGCTCCATATGCTCTGTGCCCCATGCCAAATCCCAGGCCAGGGTGATGCAGTCGGTCTGGAAGGGGATAGACTGGATGCTCTGCAGGGTTGGGGGGTCCAGCTTGGCTGTGGGGAGAGCAGGGGAGAGTTGGAGAGGTGTGTGGTGGGCAGCACCCAGAGCCATGACCTCACATGCGCCTGTTGTTCATGCCAGGAGCTGCAGCCAGGGTGCTGCAGGAAGAAATGGGGGGAAACCACCCCAAAACATTTAGGAGAATGGCTGGTGGCAAAGGACAGGAGCCTGTGTGTGCTTCTGCTTGGGAGGGAGTAATGCTTGTGAGTGCAACACTGGCACAGCTCTGCATTAATGCCTATGCAGAGAAAACAGATTCCATGGGGCTGCTGTCTGGAACACCCCACATTTGGGTCTGCTCGAGGGTGAGAGTGTGGCATAGCTGTGGGAAGGCTTAGCTGGCTCCTGGGCAGCCCTTCCCCAGCCCCAGATCAGGGAGGACCAGCGTCTCCATCTGGGAAGGCTCCTTTTATAAATAGTTTATAGGCACTAGATCCATTATTAATAGACCTGCTGAATAAATGGGTAATCAATTGCTGCAGGAGCTGTGGAGTGCAGCAGGTCAACTGGCAGCTCATAACCCACCGTACGCTCTGCTCGCTCTGTAATGTGGCGCTGGACCCGACTCATCCCGGCAGGACATTCATCATGGCACCTGCCCGTAAAATGTGACCTCAAGCCCGACGCGCTTTAATGTCACTTTAATACCCCTGTCACCGCTGACGAGCTTCCCTGGCCCCTGACCTCTGCACTGTCACTCACCCACGTCCATGGGATCGATGCAGAGATGCTCTGACTCGGCCGTGCCCAGGGCGTTGGTGGCAGACACCCAGATCTCCATTTGCCGGTACAGCTGCAGCAGCCGGCGTGGCACCGTGCAGTGGCTGTGCCCTTCTCGTGGGGTGCAGCCCGTCACCTCCTGGGCTCTGCTCCTGTGGTACACCGAGCAGTGGGCTCGGGGTCCCTCTGGCAGAGGATGAGGCTTGCTATGGGGTTTGGCAGGGGACCGTGGTTCTGGAACTTACCCTGTGCACTTCAGCACGACGCTGGTGGGGAGGTGGCTGTCGGTTCCCTGCTCCCATTGGCACGTCAGCCCGTAGTCACTGAGGTTCAGGACGCAGCTGAGGTTGAGGGGCTTCGCAGGAGGGTCTGGGGGAGAACAGCCGGGAAAGAGCCTGAGCAAGTGCCCGTCCCTTCTGGGGAGGAGGGTGACCTGTAGAGGCAGCAGACTTACAGCCCGCCCTGATCTCGGCCATGCCAACGCGCTGCTTGGTCCCGTTCCACTCCACACAGCACCATAGCCTGGCCTGCGTGTGGTTGAACCGGGGCAGGGTGAGGTTGGACACCTCTGTGCCCCCTGGACCCTGGCGCTGGCTCCCAGCCACAAGCTTGTTGTCCAGCATCCATCTGATCCGGACCTTCCCCTGCTCCAAGCCGCGGCAGAGCTCTCTCTGGACGGTGCAGGATGCCGTGACAGCCGAGCCCAGGGGCACAATGGGGGAGCCCACAGTCACCGAGGCACAGCCCAGCGTCCCTGTGGGCAGGAAAAACATCTCACATCCTGGGCACAGCTGTAACAAAGCCATCTCCGCTCCTCAGCTGCCAGGCAGGACATAGGGAGGAGCCTCTTCCCTTAGACGGGCCCCCCATGTGTGGAGAGGAAGAGCCGAGCGTTGGGCAAGCCACCGGCAAGTGCCAGGCCCTATCCTGCCCGCTCCTGCTGTGCTGCCGCTGTTCCTCCTGCCCCTGGCCCCAGGCAGCCCGGATAGGCGCAGGCTGCTGCGGATGTGTGGCTGTGGGACAGGACAGGATGGACCGCACTCACCGCCCAGGTGGAGGAGCAGGAGCAGGGAGAGCTGCAGCAGGAAGGGTGTCCCAGCACCGCACCCGGCCATGGTCTCCTCCGTGCCTTTGGCATCACCTGGAACGGAGAAAGCGGCTTGTCCTGGGGGTCGGCGACGGCTGGGGACGAGGTGGGCTGAAGGAGCCGGGCTCCATTGTCACTGGCGCTTCCTGGAGCAGAATGTCCTTTCGCTGTCAGCGTCAGCCCTTCCCGCAGCCCTTCTGACACCTCCGCCCCCGGCTCGGCGCCGCCACCGCCGGCGTGGGAAGCGCAGTGGAGAGACCCGGGACGCGGGTCCTTCCACA